TTGGGTACCATTTGTATTGCCAGGAGCATTATGTGTCGGAAGCTTGTCGTTATTCTTGGACTTCATTCTCCACTGCCAGAACTTCCAGCGACTTCCACCTTTCTTTGGCTTTTCTTCGGGAGCCTCCTCTGGCTGGTTCCACCTAAAGTGCCCATTTCGAATCCCGAGACGAGTATCGAGCTCTGTAGGTGCAGTGGTAGGGACAGTTGACCTGTCCGGATTGTTTTCCCTCGCTTCTTCCTCCTTTAAGAGACTGGAGACAAATGTAGGAACTTCTTCTTCATCCAAATAGCTATTGATGCGATCCAATGCAACTTGAGTGCCCAAGAGAAGGGCAATGAAAGCAGAGATAATGTTCATTGGGCTATTCAGATCGACAGGTTAGGAACTAATACCGTGGATTTCAGATGAATAATATACCTCTTTATCATGGAAAAGATCTGAATAGCGGTGAACGCCACAGATACGGTCAATTGATTACCCATGTACACGAAGGCCATGAAGGAAATCACAGAGACTAGCACTGGAGAGACAGACCAAACCAGACTGAAGAAGAACGAGTTGATTTGTTCTGTAGAAAGTCATTACTATGAGTACTTAGGTGTTCAATCGAAACCAGGTGCATACGTTTGATCAAGAGTTTAAGTTCTTTAGCCCGGGCATCCATACATTTTTGAACCCATTCTGAAGAAGCATGTTAGATTTATGTCCAGATGAGATTTAAAGGTTAGATGTCTACTCACTATCTTCACTAGCACCAAACTTGATGAATTTGGCTTCGGAAATGAGCTCGGTCAAGACTTTCATTCGTTTATCGCGGGCCTCCATTGTAGCCTTGTTGATATCTCTTCCCCTGGTCATCAGATAACCATTCAACGGCGAGCCCAAAATCAAGACCGTGAACCCGGCAAAACCAGATATCCCAAGTAGCCTAGACAGGAGTGCGTCAGTATCAAAATAGTTTGAATGTCACAGATAACGATTGCCATATATGGCGGAACTAGATAAATGGTACGTACTGGTAGAGGAAAATAGCTCCAATAATCAGTTCGAGCGGTGCACCCTACAAATTAGGCGAGTTAGTACCGTCACGCATTCATCTAATGAAGGGTAACACTTACATAAAGCATAGTCAAAGCAGAAGCGGTGTTGGAAATCCGACCAGCATCCGTACTCATCATGTTCACAATCTTTCCAATATCCGCGCCGGCTTTTTGCTGGTCGGCCTTTTTCGTAGCGTCCTTGGCCTTTCCTTTCCCTTTGCTATCTGCCTGTTTCTC